AGTGTCCTCTTTTTTGATTGTGGAAATATGATAACCCTAACTTACTACCTCCAGATTGCAAGGCATTAATGATCCACATATAGGCACCAAGCAGGCAAACACATAGCCTTTGTAATTTGCTGGAAATGAATGTATTTACAAGAACAAACTCAATGAACCGAACTCACTGATTTCTAAAAGATTAACGTATTGGATCGAGATATACCCAAACACAGGAGGCACACAGGGACCCAAGCACATGCCTAAACAGTCAATGTTCTATAACAAAACAGAGATCAATTAATCTAAGCAAATTACATATTGATATAGTCCATACAGATAACAGTAACATACTGTGTTAAACTGAATTTTTCACCCACAAGCAGTAACGGACTATATGTTTGTTATATTTTATTGCTTCCTTTTCATACTAATACCAAAATAAGTTGCATGGCATAATTGACATAAACCATAAATGGTAAATGCTTGTGACCTTTACTTACAGTACTGATAAAAAGTTTATTCAATGAATTGCAATCTGACCAAGAGAGACTAAGATAAGCTTAACCTTTCAGTTCAAGAACATCTGTGTTATTTATGTTTGCTCTAGAGTTTACTGAGATTTCAGCATGACTGAAATGGGGGAGAACCCTAGAGCATGATAATTGGGGATTCTTCTCTCCCTTTAAGATTCTGTATTCAGTAGAGTATACAATTTCCACTCATATTTGTATCACTTCAGCACAATTCTTCATCTAGCAAACACAATCATCACACATGCAAACCATTTTATTCAGTGTTTTGGGGGGAATCACTATTGATCATGGCAAGAACACAGGAACCAAAAGGATTTCAGCCAATGATTTACTGTGTGACCACAAGCAAGTCACTTGGCTCTTCTCACACTTCAGTCAACCCAACATGAATATTAGGTAAAAGCAAGACGTCGCCAAAATGGAGTATGCATCAGAGTTAGGACCTTTCTTTTCAAAAAGATGTTTTTGTGAATTTAGTACTCATGCAGCTTTGGAGTTGAAATGTAGCCTGAGAACAGATATAGTACATATTTCCTAACATAAGCTCACCACTGTGCCTCAACCTTTCACTGGGGAGGCCACTTCCAGTGGTTAGACTGTGGACTAGTTAAGTCTCAATGGCTGATACAGCCGCTTTTATGGGGCTACAAACTATAGGCCAATTACTACCAACCATGGTAATGATTTTTTTGGTATGGACACTTGTCCACTGAGAAATAGACTGAGATCCATCTAACTCATTTCAGGAGTTAAGCTTTTCTGACTGAATAAAATTTAAAACAGACTATCAAATGGCTAGTGCGAATCTACCATGTTCAATGGTAGTGTCTGGAGGATTTCAACAAGTAGACTGCCAAACGTAGACTTGACCTGCTGAGTACAAGACAACTAACTATTGAATCTGAATCGGCTCAGCTGCAAAAGAGGAAGTTTGGTATGCTTACATAGGAAGTTTAAAGGAACAATTCTCAGTGTTACAAGTCTGTCCTCAGCATACAAAAAATTTCTTAGAAAACAGGCCATTCAGTTCCCTGTGCCAGTCTAAATTCCAACTGAAAAAGCCTATTTATCCATATTCTTCTTGGGGAAAGCCTTATGTCAACTGTCTGGCAAAATGACCAAAAAAACCCAAACTTGTTAAAACACCGGCCCCATGATGGCAGAAGAGAATCAGAGAATACTTGCAGTGTCCACCCAACTACCCAGCCATTACCTTTACATACTGAATCTTTAATTAAATTTAAAAGGAAAAACAGAGTCTGGAATATGAATTCTGAAATGTGTTTATGTTACATTAGCTAGGTAGGAAGGAAGTCCTGGAAAGAGGCACCAGTTGCAATATACATTGCTTTAGAGGAAAGTACCAATGCAGATAGGCAAATAAATCATATCATACTATGATAACATATGAAGACCTCAACTGTCAAGAAAATCAGACTGTTAATTCTCACATAAACATTTTTAAAAAATCTTTGATTTTTAATTTACAGTTCAAAGATCACTCTCACAATTCAGCAGCTTTGTCTTTTAAGGCCAATTACTCCAAATGGCTTTTCTCACAACAGAGTGCTTTCTCTCAGCTTTGGGAAAGGTGAGTGAAAACTACCAAGTGATGTCTTCTTCTGCCAGGACCAAATGAACAGTTTGAAAGATTCAATTGATTGATTTGCTTTTGGCACATCAGGGATTAATGGTGGGGTGGATGGCTGCCCAGCAGGGGGAAACAAACAACATATAAAACAAACTTCTTTCTTTTGTCAGGCTTAAGAAGAAGGGTACCAAATGGCTCACAGGTTTAAGTAGCAGGCTGTAGGAGTTTTCCTCTCTAAGTTACAGTTTCAAATCTAGCCTATGTCAACAATGATTCAAGGTAATAAGATGCTGTGCATAAAATTATTTGAATGCTGATCTCAGTCTATTTCTCAGTAGTCAAGTATTCACCTTCTAATAACAAATCAGCACTATTTGGCCTGATCATTTCTAATGACAGCAAAGATGCCAAGCATTGA